TATGAAACCCAAATAATGGAAACTCAGTTTGGCTTCAGACGGGAAAGAGGATGCAATGATGGCATATATGTAACGAAACAACTACAAGAAATAGCAAATCTTAGTCAGCGAAGGCTATTCACCTGCTATGTCGACCTCTCTGCTGCTTTCGACCATGTCAATCAAAGTTTTTTGTTTCAATCGATTAGGAACAGGATCCCGTACGGCGAGCAGACAGATAACATAGACGTTATTGAAGGTTCGTATGCTCACACAGAAGCGTATTTAGCTAACACCGAGCCATGTAAGGACTCATTCAATATATCTTATGGAGTTAGACAGGGGGGAAACGAGGGGCTCATGCTCTTTAATCTATATATAGACTACACACTAAGAATCTTCAATCAGCGCTCTATCTACTCTATCTATAACATATCAAATTCTGAATGAAGCCACCAACAGAGAACAACGTAGACGAGAGCCAATGAACGGCACATTTGAAGATTCTAAAGGTGGGTATGCAGACGATATTGGCATACATAGTTGGTCAAAAGATGGGCTTCAGTCTATAGTAAACATCCTATTCGAAGTTCTTGCAGAATTCGGTCTTACCATGAACGTTAACAAAACGGAAACCATGGTTTGGAACTGGTCATTGGAAAGATACGGTCCATACCCTAGTCATCTAATCAAAGTAAACGACATATGGATCATCAACTCTAAGATATTTAAATACCTTGGTGTATGGAACACCTACGATGATATACCTATTGGGAATAGGGAGATGGATCATAGGATCAGCAGTGCTAGAGCATCCTTTGCAAAGCACCGCAAGATGCTATGCAACAAGAGCATTGCATTGTCAACCAGAGTCACCTTCCTCAACGGCCTCGTTAGATCAAGACTGACCTACGGGTGTCACTCATGGAGACCACTCCAAAGTGAACTTAACAAGCTCAACTTTACATATAACTACTTTCTAAGGTCTATAATAGTTAACGGGTTCGAAAGACAAAGATCTCCAGTAGCAGCATGTCGTGTGCCCAGTATCGATGAAGAGGAAGATGAACGAGTGGAGAAAGAACCTGACGACGATGCCGACTGGTCATTTAAAATAAACAACAAGAAACTTTTCTCAATTGTAAAGACCATTTCTATACAAGACTTTTACAGCCAACAACAAGTAAACTGGATCGCTCATGTTATAAGACGTGAAAACTCAAATCCATGTAAAAAGCTTACATTTCAATGGACAAAAGTAAGTAAACGTGGTAGAAAAAACTCATCAATTATTGAGAGAGCCACAGCTTTTAGTGGACTCTCAAGAAATCAATTCATCAGAGACTGTTTTCTAAAACGTAAGTTTTAATAGATATAATAGATATGTCTAGCTATAGCTTCTTTTATTTTTCTTCTCTCCAAGTTGGGCTTGAGTTGCTTGTGAAGGATGTGAAGGAATATGAAATAAGAGAATTAAGACAAAGGTACTAAGGTATTAAGGTACTAACACCAAAGAAATGAAAAGAAAAAGAAAGAAAGAAAGAAAAGAATGTCAGAGAAAGACAGAAAAGAAGGTAAAGAAAAGAAAGAAAAGAAACTAAGAAAGAAAGAAAACGAAAGTAAAGGTAAGAATACGAAGAAAAAAGAAAAGAAAAAATGAAAAAAAAAAAAAAACGAACGAGAAAGTTACTAACACCACAGAAAAGAAAAGAAAACGAAAGAAGGTAAGAAAAGAAAGTCAAAGAAAGAAAGAAAAGAAGGTAAAGGAAAGAAAAGAAAGATAAAAAATAAGAAAGAAAGAAAACGAAAGGAAAGATAAGAATACGAAAGAAAAGAAAAGAAAAATGAAAAGAAAGAATAAAAGAAAGAAATGAAATAAAAGGAAAGGAAAGAAAGGGAAAAAAGGAAAGATATGAAGAGAAAGCAAAAAAAAAATGAAAGAAAATGAAAAAGAAAAGAAACTAAAAGAGAAAGAAAATGAAAGGAAAGAAAAGAACATAAAAGAAAAGAGAATAAAACGAAAGAATAAAGAAAGAAAAGAAAAGAAACAAAACGTAAGAAAGAAAGGAAAGAATAGAAAGAAAAGAAACTACAGTGTATGGAAACAACAGAAATATAACGAAAGAAAATGTAATTGATGACAAATAAAAAGAAAGACAAGGAAAGAAATGAGAATAAAGCTAAGGAAAGAAAAGAAAGAAAAGAAAAGAAAAGAAAGAAAGAAAGGAAAATGAGAATTAAAGACTAAATTCGTAAAAAAAAAAATTAATATTAATAATCTAATATTAATATTAGTATTACTATAAGTAGCTCAGCCTAATTGGAGGGAGGAGAAAAAGAAAGAAATGATAAGTATATATATATATATATATATATATATATATATATATATATAAAATGCACAACTACATGATTCTCTTTTAAATGGTTAAATTAGTTTGAATATTTCAAAATAATGGCTAATTTTTCTAATTAATATGTATTTACAACATAATATAATGTAATATAATACAGAATTGTTAAATATAATATAATCTAAGATTATCATGAGATGTAATATGCCAACTAGATTTTCTAGTCAATGGCTGCCAATAACTGATATATTTTCAGTGGCTAAATTTATTATAATGTACAAAATCTGAGTTCAACATGATCAAATCAAATCAAATATGAATTTATTTTCATACAATACAGTAATACAGTATACAATAAGAATGCAAATTAAAACAAATACATTGTATGGAAGGAGGCTACATACAGTAAGTTCTAGTAGAGCTTTAAGATGTAGCCATGGAAACAAACAATGATGATTGGTTAATTGCCGTAGCAATTGCTTATTAAAGCTATTCGTCACTTCTCAGAAGAAATAATAACAAGTAGATTGAACATAATATTACAAGAGGAAAACATTTAGGTATTAGCTGCTACATTCGTGTTTTGTTGCTACATTTGTGGGCGTTATCACATTTGTGGGCGATGATTGTTTTCACATTTGTGCCCGCTGGACGCAGGGTTCCCGGAATGCCGCCCTCAACGGCGTGTGCGAAGCAACTCAGAGTCAGAAGTGGAACATGAATTTCGATTTGGTTTCGTAGTCAGATTTTCGAGAAAAACTTCAGCTACCCGTATTTCTCGACTGAGACGTCAATGGGAGCTGTAATTTGTATGGCAAGGAGATGGTGCTACCCTTAATTTGTATTAAGGGAATTTACGCCCACAAACCTTGTAGTTATTGATATTTTGGTTATAATAGAACATTTTTATTTTTTGGGACGTCACACTCACGCTATAGTTAGCATGCATACGTCATAAACTAGATTACGTCACCTTTTCCTGGTAAAGCAAACTTTCCCGGCGTGCTTTTTTCATGGATAAACAAACACCACTGCTTTGCACATGAGTGCCTTGTCTAGCTAGGGCTACAAGAACCGCAAAGTTAGCATATAGTACTTAAACAGGGTACGTCTGCAACTGAACTATTCTTAGGCCCTAGTTAATTTTTTTTCTTATTTTAATTTATTTCTTTCGAAAGTGTACTTTCTATTACATAAAATTTCACTGTCTACTTAGGCCTAGGTCTAGTCGTATTATGCTTCATCGTCCCCTGCTATACACAGTAAATCAGTAGGCTAGCCCCCACCCCCACGCTACAGTACAGACATTTGCTAGGCAACAGAACGTGATTGCGCCTTTCTTACCAGGTGTTCATGTAAATTTGCATAGGCCTATCGTTAGCTAACCAGCTGAGTGTATTCCTTTGTGAAAATGAGTAACGCGGGCCGCCGCGTACTCATTTTCACAAAGCATTTGCATCCCCTCTTGAAAAGAGGGAACTTCGTAATAGTTGTCACCATATCTTCGCTCATTAATCACCGTAGTTTAGCTTACTTATGCATGGAGGGAGCACTTAAAATGTACGATAATCATTTCACTACCCGACAACTTTATTCATGCATTACATAAATAGTTTCATCTTGCTGTACTCTAACATCACTGGCGCATGGTAACAACCAACTGGCAGACCATTTCCAGTCACACATTCTCTCCATAACGCAACACCCCTTGTTCCGTGTCTTCTGGTTGTTAAATTTGTAGTTTTTATAACATGTCTTGGCGTTTTTACATTATGGGTTCAAGAGTGGCAAAGTCGCTTCAGAAAAATCAAAATGATGGTAACTAACGAAAGTGCCGACAAAAGAATGTCAACAACTTATACGTGGATTGTCTCATACGCAAGAATATATGGTTCATATCTCATGTTCCTGTATCGGAAAAGACTGTAAAGAGTGATCCTGTGCTGTGTCACATTGAAGATTGTATTAATTATTGCCGCTCCAAAGTTGGATTGATGAAAATCTGTTGAGAAGTAAACTTCCGGAGCTAACAGGCCTAGGTATTAAATTTGATGATAATTTTTGGTGTGACACAAGCCATTATGCAATGTACACTTATTTTCAAATTTCTGTTCCCAGAAAAAGTTATTCTGAATCTAATGATGGTACAAAATAACTTTGTTTAGTGTTGCAGTGGCTTGGGAAGCCTCAGTATTGATTTAGTCCAGAGTCGACCACTGATGGTGGATGAAACCAAATACCCATGCAGAAGAACAAAATACATTTTGAGACAGACTGCAATCACTGACTTTATTCCGATCTACACAGTATCTCGGGTATTCACCGTCCGTATAAAATACCCATATATTACCTGGAGCTCAATACTAGGATCAATAACACCAAATATGCGTAGAACTAACTTTGTCGCAAAAGCACACTCTCTATGATTTAATACGGTAATATAATATACTTATATCAATTTTACTATAGTAAAATTCATTACAATTACTCATAATACTGTATAATTATAATCGTAAACAACAATTTAGAAATATATTAAGTTACTCACAGTATCGGAAAAAATCATCTTAACAAAAACATAACAAAGCGTCTTACATTAACAATACAACGCTCACGCAGCCAATGCATTATATTCGTCACCTGACATGCAAATACACACGATAATACCAATAAAACAAAAGCAGTAGAAATAGCTATGAAAAACAATAGCATTGCCACATATTCTTTCATTCACAATCGGCGATCACTGCTTTCGCGAATATTGAGGGAGAATTCATCCAGCATGCGTATTTATATTATCAGTTCACGTAAATGATCTAAAATAGCGCCCTCTATAATTTCTGCTTTACGTGTATGGGGAAAAATGCGCCCTGGTCCCCGGGTCCCCACTGGCGCCACCCCCGGAATGCGTACTTAACTATCTATTAGTTATTATTAAATTACTTTCATTTGCATATATTCTTATTATAACATTGTGCAATCTTGCAAATAGGAAATGCCAAGTGGAGGTAAATCAGACCTTACGACTTCTAAAACGCCGTCACTCAAAACACCAGGTAAAAGTAAGTATGCAATTCTTAGCCTATCGCATAGGTTTATTACAACTTGATGTAATGTTTTCGGCAGCCCTCTGTGGCAAATAGTTGAGCACGTCCAGGTCAAAGTTCGAACGCTGAATGAAGTATGGTTAATTATGATAGATTTAGACGAGTTAAATGTGAGGAAAATGGCTCAGAATTGCACATCGTAGTATTGCATGATAGTTCGACAGGTGGA